GAAAAAATTGACCTAAAATATGCATTACCCATAATTGGTCAACAATGCCTCGAGGGCAATTTTGGAAACAAGTTCTTAGTCTATCCGGATATTTTAGTTAATTATGTGATAATTTTCTTTGGGACCAAGTTTTTGAGAGGTTACGTGCGGTCCAAGATCTGGCATAAGGTGTAATTAATCACCAAGTAGGAAATGATTTGGAATCCAAAAATTGCGACCATTTAGTCCTAATTTATTGCACAAGTAGCAAGTTTGTCCTTGATCTTTTAAAATGAGTAACTTATCAACCTTTTATTGGAGTCGTAAAGACCGAAACTTTCTATCTTTGCTAAATCGTTTTATGACCCTCACATGTCGAAATTGTGTTCTCGACTTCTACTAATACTCAGAAACTTGAAGTGACATATTTTCATCAGAGACAGCTCAAGCATTAAACGAGTTAGATTGTTCCTAATTTATTGTAGATACCCCAATTTTTAAAATTATATATTTTTCCCTTTATTTTTCTTATGAAAATTTTTAAAAGAATAAAACTTCTTGTACATTAATTGGTTGACATGGAGTTTGACACTCCATGTATTTTCAAATGCAAATGGGCGGGAAAGTATATTTTATTTTAAAACTGTCTACTCATGCCACAACACGTGGCACAATGTCAAACTTGATGTCAATTTAAGTGTATATGTAGCATGATTGTTTTTAAAATTGATTTAAAAATTTTAAATAATATTAAAATAAGAAAACATTTTTTTTTTTACTTTTTTTAACACCTGGGTCGAAGATTGATCTCCATGCTTCGCTACGCTACGCTTTACACTTTTTAGAATTCTGATTTGAATTAAGAGTTAGTTCTTTAGCCCTGTCCGGCTCTTAGTTCACAAATTCATATCCTTCAAACGTATTTTCACTAACATATTTTATCAATTTTTATTAAAATTTTACTTTTTATCTATACCAAACAATGCTTAATACTTTAGCAACTTTTATATTGGTAGGTCGAAGCATCACAAGCAGAAAATATAAAAATCTTGTGGTATGTTTTTTAAGAAAAGAAAAATAGTATTATTTTAGTACATAAGTACAATATATTAACATATTACAGAAATTACTTTTCAAAATTAAAAATTAAATATGTATGCATTTATTCTATTCAATAACGTTTTTTCCTTCAGTGGTATCCCAGCGGGGCAGGATAATCCTTTAGCTTGTGTCCTCCACATTGAATGTCCTGCAAATTAAAGGAAATTAAAGTCATTTTCCACAAATTATTATTCATTATCACTTAATTAAACTGAATTATAGAATATTAATAAAAAAAATTAAAATTTTATACATTAT